AAAAAAAAAAAAAAAAGAAAGAAAGAAAACTCAGGACTCAGCTTACAAGACAGTCTGCAGCAGGACAAGATCAGTGGTGGCCCAGGGTGTAAGCTGGGAAGCTGCCACAGGGCCTAGGTTCTTAACTGGAAAAGCCACGGTAGAGTCAAGGGCTGGGCTAGGCTTGGGATTCACTCCTAAGGATGAAGACAGAAAAGAGGACTGCAGACTGTCTTCTGGCTTGCTAGCTTAGAAACTAGCTAATACATAAAAATAAGAATTACCGGGAAGAGCAGATTTAGACAGAGGGTTAGGAAAAAAAAAAAAAAGTTGCCCTCAAGTTGACTTTGACTCTTGGTGACCTTATGTGTGTCAGAGTAGAGCTGAGTTCCTAGGGTTTTCAAGGATTGCTTCTTCAGCTGGTAGATCACCAGGCCTTTCTTCCAAGGTGCCTTTGGGTGGACTCAAAGTGCCAACACTTTGGTTAGCAGTTGAGTGCATCAACTGTCTGCACCACCCCAAGATTACAAAGTCTCCACATTTATATTTGGACCTATAAAGTCTGTGGGATTCATAAATGTGACCAAATCACTAGAGTTCCATGACCTCACATCCAAAAAGCCCTGGGGAATGCATTTCAGAATTCAGAATCTGTGAATATTAGAAACGTATCATGTAACATGGTACATTTGCTGGATATTGCATAACTCCTGGCAGGCTTGAGGGCGTCACTGCCCAATCATACTTTTTGCAACAAACCATATGAAAAATCACACTAAAGAGAGTAACAAGGACTATGAATAGCCTTGCTGAAGTTCAGGTCCAATGTTGCCACCAAATTAGTTCAGGTCTGATCACATTTCATCAAAAATGGTTACAAAAAACTCATGGCTTTCCGAGCCTTCTGGGTTTTGGAATTGCCGATAAAGGATTATGGACTTATATTCATTTCTATTAAAATTAATGAATTTGAGAAAAGGACAAATCATAGAATATTCTTAAAGAAAGGTAATCTTTCCACTTTCAAATACATAGCTTGAATTAGGCTTGGTGTTAGGAGCCATCTAGCATTTCACTCATAAGTGACCCCATGTAACAGAGTGGACCTGCCATAGGATTTTCTTGGCTATATAATCTTTATGGGACCAGATCATCAGGTCTCTCTCTCATGGAGCCGTGAGGTAGCTTTGAACCAACAACCTTTGGTTAGCAGCCAAGTGCTTAACTGTTGCTGCCTTCAAGTTGACTCTAACTCATAGTGACCCCATAGAGTTTCCAACCCAAAAGGCTCTGAAAGCCAAAAAGTTTCTGTAACCATTTTTGATGAAATGTGTAAATCTTTAGAGATGCAGGCTGCCACATCTTTCTCCCACAAAGTAGCTGGTGTGTTCAAACTGCCAACCTTTGGTTAGCACCTCAGTTCTTTTACCACTGCCTACCAAAACTTCTTGAATTAAGTTTAGCAAGCATTAGTCAACATTGCTGAAGATTCACTTTTGTGAGATCAGGATAATCACCTATAAAGAAGGGATTCAGGAAGCAAGTAAAAAGCTCCTGTGAGGACCAGTTGTTGTTAGCTGCCCTCTAGTCAGTCCTTGACTTGGGGACCTCATGCACAGTGGAACAAAACAGTGCCTGGTCCTGGGCCATCCCCACGACCAGTGGCAGACCAGGCTCTCGGGATCCCTATGGTCTTCCCTGGCTGATTTTCAGAGGACTTGTTTGTTGTTGTTGCTGTTAGGTGCCAGAGAGTCAGCTCTGACTCATAGCGACCCTATGTACAACAGAACGAAACACTGGCCAGCCCTGCGCCAACCTCAGAATTCTTGCTATACCTGAGCCCATCAGTTGCCGCCACTGTGTCAATCCATCTCGTTGAGGGCCTTCCCTTTTTTCGCTGACCCTCCACTTTACCAAGTGTGACATCCTTCTCTAGGCACTGGTCCCTTCTGACAATGTGACCACACACAGTAGGTGAGATGAAGTCTGGCCATTCTTGCTTCCAAGGAGCATTCCGGCTGCACTTCTTCCAGGACAGAGTGGTTCATTCTTCTGCCAGTCCATGGTACTTTCAGTATTCTTTGCCAACACCACAGCTCAAAAGCATTTTTGAGGAGGAGTGATTAGGTTGTTTCATTTTAACTATTGGTTTCATGAGCCCTCAAGCACTAGATAAGAGGGAAAGAAGTCATAATGTGCATGGAGTTTGCATTCTGTGCCAGGACTGAACTCCATAGTCTCAGACTTGATCCTATCTCACCTGCACAACAACCTGCAAGATACGTATTCTGCTCATTTTTAACAGTTGAAGAAAAAGCAATGTTGTAAAAATTCAGCTAAGTATCTTAACAGGTGGCATAGTGCCTAAGGCATCTGACTGCTAACCAGAAGGCTGGTGGTTCAAACCCACCAGCCACTCCTCAGAAGGAAGACTGGGCAATCTACTTCCATAGAGATACTGCCTCGGAAACCCAAGGAGGGGTTGCTATGAGTTGGAACCGACTCAAACAGTGAGTTTGGTTTTTTGGTATTGTAACAGGAAGCCTATGACACATCTGGGTCCTGAGGAATGTTGGTCTGCCAGTGGGGCAGCATGTGATGTGCATTAGAACCCCTGAGTAGTGCAGTAGTTAAACACTGGGCTTACTGACCAAAAGGAGCCCTGCTGGGCTCAGTGGTTAAGGGCGTAGCTGCTAATGGGAAGGTTGGTGGTCTGAACCCACCAACCGTTCTGCAGGAGAACAATGTGGCAGTCTGCTTCCATAAAGATTTACAGCCCTGGAAACCCTATGGGGCAGTTCTACTCTGTCCTATAGGGTTGCTATGAGTCAGAATCAACTTGACAGCACTTAACTAATGGAAAGGCTGGTGATCTGAACCCACCTAGAGACAACTCGGCAGAGAGGCCTGGCAGTCTGCTTCCAAAAGGTCACAGCCATGAAAACCCTATGGAGCACAGTTGCACCATGAAGCACAAGGTGTGCTGTGAGTCAGGATCGACTCAGCCGCAGAGGGATAAGCCTCTGGGGACAGAACAGCACTGGGAACGGGAAAAAAACCCACAATCGACAAAGTCCATACATATGTTTGGATACATATGTTCATCTGTAGCAGGTGCCTTGAATCCTTTTAGCCCTCTGAACCTCTCTGCTTACTCAAAGTGCATTAACTACAAGCAAAGTGTTTTCTACCATTTGTTACATTTATTCAGTTTGTGAAAAGACTCTGGATTATTTGGTTCCCACCAAAAATGCAGGCTTGAAGGGTATATATTCACCCAGGAGAAGCACACGTACTCTAGAAGACTCCAACTGTAGGAAAACCGGAGCAAAGGTAAAACTCTCGGCTGCTAACCCAAAGGTTACTGGGTTCTCATCCACCCAGCAGCTCTGTGGGAGAAAGACTTAGCAATCAGCTCCAGTGAAGATTATAACCTAGGAAACCCATGGGGCAGTTCTCCTCTCTCACGGGGGGTTGCAATGACTTGAAATCAACTTGACAGCACCTAACAGCACAGCAACAAGAAGCCAATGAGGTAAAAGCTGGAATTCTTCCTGCAAACACATCCAGTGGAGAGGCCTGCCTCCTTAAGCTGCGGTTCATCATTTACTATGGACTACGGAAATGCAGGTCTTTTACACATCCCTCTCCAGCAGTCTTCTTTACAGTGAGAATGAGATTCTTAAATGGGGAGAGTCAAACAGGAGCATGAAGAAACCTCCTTACTCATATTAAAAAAAGCAGGTAAAACAATTTTGTGTCTTGTGTGTCTAAGTGAAGAAACAAGAAGTAAAGACCTACAAAGTGATCCATAATTCAGACATCATTCCTGAAAGACCTAGAACTTAATTTTCTTCAAGTGCCCCACCATTTGAGATCGCCTAAGGAATCTGACTCATCTAAGGAATGTTTTTCAGGATGAATCTTCCTTTTTCACCATTTTGAAGACGAAGAAGAGCCTTCATCCAGCTGCTTCACACATGAACGGCATCTGCATCACCTGGGTGCTTCCTGACGTGCACGTCCCAGGCCCCTCACTTGGAAATTCGAAAGCAGAGCAGGTCAGGGATGGGGCCTTGAGAATGTGTGCTGTTTACAAGCTCCTCAAGGAATTGTACAGGTCATCCATCCACCACGTGGTAAGAAACACCATTCCAGTTTTAGAGTGTCCTGCCTGACTGTTCAGAGCCTACTTGAATTAATCTTGGGTGAGACCGTGGTCTTCTCAGCTTTGTTTACTACGCTGCAGCTGTGCTGAGAGGCCAGAGGTCTCTCACAGCAAACATAAGGCCACCTGCAAAGCTATTCAGCTATTCTTGCAGGGTTCTCAACAGCTGAGGACAACTTTCTTTCCTTGGCTCCTTTCACAAAGAGCCTGGAGGTTTCTGCCTCTTTAGGGAGTGGTCCTGGTAAACCAGCAATCGGACTCTCACCCTTTAACTCTCTGGACCTCATTTTTCTCATCTGCACAAGGAAGAGTCACCCTACAATGGAATGATCTCCAAATTCCTTCCTGGCTGAGGATCGATTGGTGATCTCAAGGTTTTCTTAAATGATTGCATTTAGCTCTGAGTAGAATCTGAGATGACAGACTAAAGACAAAAATACCCTTTGATTCCTCATAATTTTAATTAAATGATTTTGTTGCCAATTGTTCAGTGTCCGTCTTCCCCACTAGAATGGGTGCTTCCTGGAGTGCCTGGCTTACCCCAGGTGTTCAAGAAATACCTGTGGCACTGCCACTGAACGGCATGGTTGGAGAAGTTAAGGAAGGGGAGCTGTTCCACATGCAGGTTAGTTTTAGGAGACATTTGGCTGAGTGCAGTGACCACTGGAGGTAGCTTATACTGGCTCTTAAGAGCCGAATGTGTGCATCTCTTTCTGACCCCAAAACTAGTGACATCAAAGTTGGTAGCTTGAAATTGGCCATGGTGGGAGTATTTGCACTGTGGAAGACTGCAAACGCTAAACACCAGGGCTCTTTTGGGGGGCGGGGGTAGAGTTGGGAAGAATTGCTAGGTGGCACAAACCGTTAACATGCCAGGCTGCCAAACAAAAGGCTGGAGGTGCCAGTGCACACAGAGGCCCCCTGGAAGAAGGAGCTGGTGATGGACTTCTGAAAAACCAGCTGCTGAAAGCCCCATGGAGCACACCTGGACTCTGACACATATAGAGCCACCAGGAGCTGGAGTCAACG